TTTTCCCTTTTCCCTTTTCCCCTTTCTGGGCTTATTTTGGGTTTTGATATTAGAGATATATCATGTTTAATTCTGGTCTTCTCCTTATGAAAGCTTGAAATTCTTCTATTTCACCGAATGACCATGTTTTCCCTTGAAGTATTATGTTTGGTTTTGCCTATTAGGTGATTCTTCGTTGTAATCCTAGCTCCTTTGCCTTGCAAAATATCATGTTCCGTGACCTCTGATCTTTTAATATTGCAGCTCCTAAGTCCTGAGTAATACTGATTGTGGCTCCCTGATTTTGAATTCTTTCTGGCCACTTGCAATATTTTTTGCTTGACCTGATAGTTCTGTATTTTGGTTATAACATTCCTTGGAGTTTTAATTTTGGGATCTCTTTCCTGAGGTGATCATTGGATTCTTTCCATGTCTATTTTTCCCTCTAGTTCCAGGATATCAGGTCAATTTTCCTTGACAATTTCTTGAAAGATGATGTCCAGATTCTCCTTTTGATTATGACTTTTGGGTAGCCCAATGATTCTGATATTGTTTCTCCTGGATCTATTTTCCAGGTCACTTGTTTTTCCAATGAGGAATTTTATGTTTTCTTCTATTTTTTCATTCTTTTGAATTTGTTTGATTGATGTTTGATGTCTCCTACTGTCATTAACTTCCACTTGCCCAATTCTAACTTTTAAGGAGTTGTTTTCCTCAGTTAGCTTTTATACTTCCTTTTCCATTTGGCCAATTCTACTTTTTAAGTATTTCTTTTCTTTTTCCAAGCTGTTGATCCTTTCTTTCATAATTCTCTTTCATCACTCTCATTTCTTTTCCCAATTTTTTTCTATCTCTCTCACATAATTTAAGTTCCTTTTTGAACTCCTCCATGAGTTCTTTCTGGACTTGAGACCACTTCCCATTTTTGTGTGGGGCTTTGCCTTACAGGTGTTTTGACATGTTGCTCTCTTCTGAGTTTGTGTAGTGATCTTCCCTGTCACCATATTAACTTTCTACGGTCAGATTCTTCTTTTATTGTCTTTTGCTCATCTTTATTTTTATCCTTTTCCTTTTCTTTTAAATTTAAGCTCTGCTCCTGGGATGGAAGGCGCACTGTCTCAGGCTTCTTGTGCCAGGTACTATAGGCCCTGACCATTTACCTGGTGCTGCACTGATGTTGCCCTGAGGCCCACAGGGGGCCCTTGGTATCTGTTACTGTGCTGAGGGTATGGCTGGTGCTGCTGGAGGTTGTAGGGTTCTGGGAGCTTATCTGGTGCTGAGATGAAATCCAAGTGCTGGTGTCTGGTGTGTGCCGAGGCTGGTGGAGTGTTCCTGCATTTCCCCACGGCTACACTGAAGCACTTAGCAGTCGGGCTACTGGATTCTATTTGCCTAGGGCTATGCTGCGGCACATGGGGGGTCCTGGTGTTGGTGTTTGCATGCTCTACCACACTGGAGCTCAGGATCTCTTATTGGTTTGCTGAGGTGAGGCTTGCTGGGATGCTCCATTTACCTGAGTGAGACAGACCTTTCCTGCCAATCTTCCAAGTTTCTTGGCCTAAAACATTGTTTCACTCAGTCTTTTTACTATTCTGCTGTTCCAAGATTTGTTTTGGGGTGCTATTTTGTGGTTGTTTGGAGGTGAATATGGGAAAGCTATGACTATTTACTGTTTAATCCATCATCTTGGTGCCTGGAAATCCCTCTTCTTTAGAAATTTCTTTGTTGCTGCCTTCCCTATGACATTTTGAACTTCTGCTCATAGTTCTTCAGGCACTCAGTCTACCAGATCTAATCCCTTAAATCTATTCATCACCTCCACTTCATATTCATAAGGGATATTATTTAGGTTATGCCTTTATGGTCTGATGGTTTTCCATGCTTTCTTCAATTTCAATAATGTATCATACATATTCCCATTTCATAGTATTGTAGGCTTTAGTGTCCCAAGGGACCTTAGTGTTTATCAAGTGTAATACCCTAATCATTTTATAGAAGAAACAAATGAAGAGGTACACAAGTATTGAGTAGACAGATAAGAAGATGGAACCCTGGTCCTCTGAATTTACCTTTGCAGATTATTTATCATTTACCTCCCTACTGAGAATGACAGGTTTATGGTGAGCAACTTTCAAATCATTTCAGTCCTTAAAGGCATTTAGGTGACATAGAGTACTGGACTTACAATCAGGATAAACCTGAGTGCAGATCCCGCCCAGACATTTATTAGCCATGGACCCTGCGCAAATCATTTAATCTCTATAAGTCTGTTTCCTCTTCTACAGAAATGGGAATAATAATGGAACCTACCTCACAGGCTTGTGAGGACTAAACGAGATAACAGATGTAAATCACTTTACAAGCCTTATTAAAGCATTATGTAAATGCTAGCTATTGCTATTTTACTTTATAAACTATTTGCCAGCAGTATTTTCCAAATTTTAGGATTTTCTCATTATTTTTAATTTTCTTAATGTTTTATTGGTACCTTTTTTCTTTACTATATTTCTTTCTTTCTTTCTTTCTTTCTTTCTTTCTTTCTTAAGAAGAAGAAACATGAAGGCCAACACAAATAAATAATGAGTTTCCAGCTTCTGCTTGGTTCCAGGAGAAGATGAATGATGTTGGAGTCTCATAGGAAGAAAATGACAATTCGACCCATGGCCACAGGTCTTTTTATGCATTAATTTCCCAGACTAGGAAGTCTAGCAGGGCAGTTCCTGTTTATAAAGTATGTGAATTACCATAAAGCTACAAGTATTCAGGAGCATACCTGGGCAGCTCCAAATATTCCATTGTGTTTCTTGGAGCCTTGGGTGGAGGCAGCATTACAACACCTCCTGCACCTGAACCATGTGTATTAGGAGACAGTGTGCTGAAATTTATGAGTCAGGGTTGGATGGGTCCATGGAGACAGGCCTTTATCCTAAAGGCCTCAGGCAACTTTCCTTGAAAACAAAGGACCTTCAGTTGTGAAAACCAGGGACCTTTCTGCCCATAGATGCCTGGTTTGCCCATTCCTATGATAATCTCTCCCCAGATACTCCTCTACCTTCTTCCTTATCTCACCCTTGCTCCCCAAGCTGTCTCTTTCCCAACCCCATGGTAAAGTAGAAAGAAAGCAAATACATCCCTATCCTTGGTGTCAAAGATCCTCTTAAGCAGCAGAACTATTTTACATGTAAAGCATACTAGCTTTGGCATCAGAGGACCTGTGATCAAATCTCATTCCTGCTTCTTTCTGCCTATATGTCCTCAAAGCAGTTCACAGCTTCTCTGGACTTCAGTGTCCTCATATAAAATAAAGAGGATGGTGTTGATGACAGCTTTCAATCTGTGGTCTTATGATTCATCCATTCAATTACTAAGTAGGAAAGATCTTACTACTCCATACTCTACCCTCTCTGATCCTGCAAGTAAGGACAGTCTTTTAAAACCCTCTATATATCTAACAAGACCAATCAACAAGTATCATTAAGTACCTAAAATGTGTCAGGCATTGTGCTAGGTGCTGAGGGTACAAATACAATGAATGAAACAACCCTTCCTCACAAGAAGATTACCTTCTAGCTAGAAAAGACAAGATCCCTAACTGTTCCTCCTTATAACGCAAAAAAGATTTTTGGTTCAGTGGAATAGAAGGCCAGAGGATATAGTAGGAAAGAGATGGAGAGTAGAACCCTTGAGGAGAGCAAAAAAAAATCCCAATCTGACTTCTTTCTATACAGCTTTCCCCTTAGTCCTGTCCTACCACCAGACTGCCTCTTCAGAGGTTGGGCTACTCCCTGGTACAGTACAAAATTCAGGCCACCTAAAGGTTAGTGGGTTGGTTGTATTTCTATATGACTTGTTTTAGGATCGATGCTCCAGTATCTTTGGAAGGGGCCACTTTCACTCCAGGAATTTATTGGGGGCATTAGAGACCATCTCTAGTCCAGAAATCCTTAATTCGAGGTCCACAGATCCACCAAGGAGAGGTTTCAGGTTTCCATGAACTTGGATTGGGAAAATGACATTTTTTTCAATGTTAACTTTATAATCCTATGTACATAGTGCCCCCAAAATCTTAGTGTAGTTTTAAGCAACTCTGAAGCTTAAAATAGGGTATATAGGATGTCCCAGAAGTCTTAGTGAAATTTTAATGCCCTGTATTTTATTTTTTTACACCCTGTAGTTTATCTTATATATTTAAAAACATCCTGAAAAGGGGTCTATAGGTTTCACCAGACTACCAAAAGAGTCCATGACTCAAAACTGATCTAGGCCCACCCCTCCATTTTATAAAAACTCTATTTTTAATGATGTGCCATGTAAAGAAGATTAAGAAAAATATTTTTAAAAAACAGTTCGGGCTCTGGCTCCAGAGTCGAAGGCCCTGGGCTTCATATTCTGCTCCTTATGCCATTTAACTTCTCTGGGCCTCAGTTTTCTCATCTGAAAAAATGAGGGAGTTGGACTGGATAACCTCCAGTGAATGAAAAGGTCACTTATTAAGCATACCCCATGTGCCAAGAATTGTCCTCTGCACTGAGGATACTAATAGAAAGAAGAAAAATAAATGAGATAGTTCCTTCTCTCAGAGACTCAGACACTCTAATGGGGACAGACAATGAATATAACAGATTTCAGCTGCAGGTGGATGGAAAAGCTCAGAAGTGAGAAGGAGATAGTGGCTGGCCAGATGCCAATGACCAGGGGTCAGTAAGGCACACCAGAGGGTCAGATGACAATGATCTATCTAGTTCCATAGATTTAGAGATTATGATTGAGTCGGAGAGTATATGTAAGATTCTACATCCCTAGTCCCCCACCTCTGCAAAGAAAGACAAAAGTTGTGTGTTTCTTAATTCTTCCTTCAAATAGCCTGTGTAACCATTTTAAAAAGACTGAGGAAGCCCGGGCCTTTAGAGCTTCAGTGAAGTGTCCAAGTTTATGAACGTAGTTAAGTGATGCCTTCCAAACTGAGATTTACACTTGGGTTTTTTCAGCAGCTAAGGCTGCTAAATGAACATGCTTCTTACCTGTTGATTTTATATGCTTAATTGGACCTAGGTCTGTCCAGTCAAAGGGATGGACCTGCACCAAACAACCGCAGAGACAGAAAATCACAGGCAGTCTGTATGGTGTCATCTTGGAGCCTCAGCAGCCGTTTCAGCTTAACCTTTGTCAAAAATAATAGTGAAATTTTAAAAAATGTATGCATATACACAAAAGAATATTTAAGTAGATAAAAAAGAGATACTAATGACTTAATTTTACTCATGAAGGGTAATAGACTTCAGATTTTAAATTATTCAAAAAATGTGGAAATATTTGAATTTTCTTTTAGCAAATTAAATAAATTTAAGACTAAAATAAGGTGGAAGCTTTTTAATGTACATACTAACACACTTTTAATTTTAATCAGCATTAATAACACTTTCTCCATCACTGTTTTTAATTTAGACAATCTTGTGTTGTCAAATAGTCATGTCCAACTTTTCATGACTCTATTAGGGGTTTTCATGGCAAAGATACTGGACCAGTTTGCCCTTTCCTTCTTCAGATCATTTTCCAAATGAGGAGCTAAGGCAAATAGGGTTAAGTGATTTGCCCATGGTTACACAGTAAGGGTCTCTGGCCAGATTTGAACTCAAGCTCTCCTGATTTGCAGGGCCAGCACTCTATCCAATGTGCCACCTACCCGTCTCTCTACCAGGGGTGAGGAACTTGTGGCTTTGAGGCCACATGTGGCCTTCTAGGTCCTTGAGTGCGACCTTTTGACTAAGTCCAAATTTTACAGAACAAATCCTTTTATTGAGGGGATTTGTTCTGTGATATTGGGATTCAGTCAAAGGGCCACACCTAGATGGCTACATGTGGCCTAGAGGCTGCATGTTCCCTGCCCCCATCTAGATAATCTACCAAACAATAAATTAAACCCTGACTTGAAACATTTGCTAAGTTACCAAGCTGGCTCCAGCATTCCCCTGGATCCGTCAAAATGGCACTGGGAAGTGGGAAGGGTGAGGAGAAACGGTAAACACTAGCTGATCCTAATGATCAGAATCAATATCATAATAACATTAAATGACCACATTTCTGCCTTCCAGTGAACAGAAACTACTACAAATGGAGATCTAAAGCTGCATTCGTTGTAATGCTGTCGGTTCCATCACTGAGAACATTTCAAAGAATAATACTGTCTCAAAATAAATCATCCTGTTGATCCAGGGAGGAAATGTCCTCTGACTTTCTTATGACTTCTGTAGTGATTTTTATAGTACTATCATTTAAAAAAAGCATCATTGATGGATTTTGTTTTTAACGGTGGAGTCATTTCCCCATGTAACCCACATCCCCAACCTTACTCCCAACCCTTTGAAAAAAGAATATTTTTGCAAAACTAGCCAATCCACCACATATGTTAGTATATTCAACATTGGGAATGGAGGTACATTTCATTCTCTGCACTTTTAAACCAAAATTGGTCATTGCATCATCTGTGCCTAGAAGCAGGAAGACTTGAGTTGAAATCTGACCTCAGACACTTACTAGCTGTATGAGTCTGGGCAAATCACTTTATTTCTGTCTGCCTCCATTTCCTCAATTGTAAAATGGGAATAGTAATAGCACCTACTTTCCAGGGTTGTTGTGAGAATAAAATGAGATAGTATTTGTAAAATGCTTAGTGCAGTGCTTTGTATATAGTAGGCACTTAATAAATGCTTGTTCCTTTCCCTTAATATTATGTGTAATTTTGGCTAAGCCACTTGGTTCCTCTAGGCTTTAGTTTCTTCTTCTTTTTTTTGTGTGTGTGTGAGGCATTTGGGGTTAAGTGACTTGCCCAGAGTCACACAGCTAGTAAGGGTTATGTGTCTGAGGCTGGATTTGAACTTAGGTCCTCCTGACTCCAGAGTTAGTGCTCTATCTCCTGTACCCCCTAGCAGGCCCCAGTTTCTTCTTGATAATTGATATTTTCCAATATAGATATTATGAGTATTCAGTATGGTCCCATCTATTAAAAATTGTTCTTATTGTTCTTAAATTTGAGTATGTAGGAATTAAAACTGAATTTTATATTAAAAACTCATGTCATTATGCTTTCATTAGCAATACAGATGTCAGCCCTTGTAGGTTTTCTTGTATATAAATTTTGTCTATATTTCCCATAAAGCCACTTAGAAAATTTACCCAATGGTTGTACTAGAGGCCTGCCTTTTGATTTTATCTTGGGGATATAGTCTATCTATATATTTTCAGTCTTAATACACAACCACCCCATCTCTTCTTCAGTGATAACTTTTGTAATACTAATAATGATAATAGCTGAATTTATGTAGGACTTTATAAAGTACTTTACATATTTACATATAAAGTATTATACGTAAAGTACTCATCATTTATATTTCCCATGTAAAAGTCATCACAAGCTGGTTACCATGCATCTTGCTCCTTTGGTTAACTTGTAATTTCGTGTCTCTTGAGAACATGGTTGTTCCATGAGTCACAGTCTTATGGCATCCCTGAAAGGTGTTTTAGTATTAAATTAAAATTAAAAGGTAGACTTTTATAGCAGGAAGCAATTTAAGGACACTGAAAGCACTGCTATGCAAATGTGATTCAGCTTGATTGCTTTATAAATGTATTTTAAAATTCAATAGAATATCCATATATTTGCATCATACTTTGGGCAATATAGCTTTTATCCACTTTATTTTTTCTGTTGTGGATAGTCAGACCAAAGAGATGTAGTATATTTGACTGATTCTGTGAATTCCAGGAACATTCATATCACTCACTCCACATAGGCCATGGCCTTATGTTAGGATTTAGACACTAAAGAGGCTTTCACCTTTTTACCATTGTGCATTTACATCCCTGAGGAAGCACTTGATAGAGTCATTAGCACAAAGACATATGCAAATTTGGAGCATTTGAAGAACCTTGTTATCAGTAAGGATTATAGGATCATGGATTTAGAATTGGGAAAGATCTTAGAAGTTCTTTTAGTTCAACTCCTTCATTTTACATCTACTTGCCCCGGGTTACATTGCTAATAAGTATCTCAGGTGCTATCAGAAAACAGGTCTTCCTGATGCTAAGTCCAATGCTCAATCTACTGCATGATGCTAAGTCCTTCTGTTTGGACTCCATGTCTGACATCTTCCAAGACATAGGTGAATATGATAGGTGAGTGTGCCTTTCCATTTTATGTTGCAATTGACAGCAGTTTACGCAAATGATAGCAAAACTTGGCACATTAATGAACAAAATTATTTCCATGATTACATTTATCATAGATTCTTTTTACAATTTTAATGTATATGTGGGAAATACCTTTTTGATGGATAGGGGTAAGTAGGAGTATATCTTTTTCAGGAGTGTAAGGCTGCATTTTGATTTATCAAATGAACTTCTAAAAAATCAATATATAATAGACTGAAACAGATTTTCTATTTTCTTTACCTCTGAGTTGGTTGTGTAACTATTAAAAACATGGTATAATTATGTTCTCTTGTTTTCATCAAGGACCTCCTCAATGCATAAGCACTTAGCACAGTGTTTGGCACAAAATAGACATTTAATAAAGGCTTTTTGATTAGAAAAAACAATTACAAATTGTTATAAAATTTAAATTCATCAAGCCAACTAAACATACAGAATAAGGAATAAATTTTTATAATAAAACAATAAAGAATAAAAATTAACATACAGAATAAGAAACAAATCCATGAAATTTGACAGACTAAAAAATCAATTAATAGACAGCAATTAAAGAAAACATTGTTTACTGGCCACAGAGGTTATTTCCAAAATTTGCTATTGCAAATAAAGGACTATTCGCTTAGATTTCCAATGGCTTCCAATGGCACCAAAGGGTATGACTAACCTTAATTAATCTTTCAGGACACTAAGGCAACCAACAGCACTGACAAACATCTGAACCAGAAGAATTGCTAGAATCACCCATAAATAATTTTTCTTTACATCCAGTATTCTCTGGGGATATGTCAAAAAAACTAGGCACCTGAAATGATTCCAGAGATAAAGATCACAAAAGTCAATACTGGAATGCAGAGAATATTGATGCCTTTTCTCGGGACCTTTACCATTAGGGCATTTGCCGGGCTTGAATATGGCTAATATAACCAGCATCACCTTTATGTGACAATGAGGTATTCAAGAAGGATTTTTATTTATTCAGCTTCTTTATCTATGTGAAATGTGGGCATTGATCATCTTTTAATATTCCTCCTACTTCTAAAATGATCTCACCTTTGAAAACAGTGATGGGAGGATTAAACTTGTTGCATTTTTTTTTTTTTGCTTAGGAAGTTGGGGTTAATTGACTTGCCCAGGGTCATGCGGCTAGTAAGTGTCAAGTGTTTGGTCTGAGGCAGTCTTTGAACTCAAGTCCTCCTGACTTCAAGGCCGGTGCTCTATCCACTGTGCCACCTAGCTGTCCCCATTATTTTTTTTTGAGGCAATCAGGGTTAAATGACTTGCCCAGGGTCACATAGCTAGTAAATGTCTGAGGTCAGGTTTGAACTCAGGTTTTCCAGACTCCAGGGCTGGTACTCTATCCACTGTACTACCTAGCTGTCCCATTGTTGTATTATTCTTTTTTTTTTTTTTTTTTGGCTAGGCAATGGGGTTAAGTGACTTGCCCAGGGTCACAAAGCTAGTAAGTGTTATGTGTCTGAGGCTGGATTTGAACTCAGGTCCTCCTGACTCCATGGCTGGTGCTCTAACCACTGTACCACCTAGCTGCCCCTGTATTATTTTTAATAGTAGATTTTAACTTTCCATGTTTTATTCAAGAATCTCAGTGCTTCAAGGACTAAGTGTCCTAGGCTGAACTAAGGTTTTCCTGACTTCAGGTCTGACACTCTATCCACTATACCACCTAGCTTACATAAGTACAATTAAATCTTGAAACTTGATCCCTCGACTTAACCAGATTTCTTTGTCCTCATACTTCACTTTTAGGTTGTTCATTGTTTAGTTGTTCAGTCATGTCTAATTCTTCAAGACCCACATGGACCATAGCATGCTGGCCTTTCTGTCCTCTACTATCTCTTGAAGACTTCCATTATATTAACTATCCATTTCATCCTCTGCCATCCCCTTTTCCTTTTGCCTTCAATCTTTCCCAAATCAGGGTCTTTTCCAATTAGT